TTGGCTACCACTGGTTCACTATAGAAAACCTGCTTGTACTTCCTAAGCACGGCTATAGCTTCTCTTTGTTGTTCTGGGGAAAGTGAGTGACTGATCTGAACCTCCTCTGGGGTGAATTTGGGTTCACCCCTCCCTTCCCCATAAAGTAATTCGAGTCTTTCCTTGTCTGCTCCTTTCAATGCTAGAAAGACAATGTCTTCTTTTCCATTGAAGGGCTTGTTCATGGCTCTCTTCCCTAGCTGTACCTGTATTATGAATTACTGTTTTGTCCTTCTCTGAGGTAACTTTGTTTTGCTACACGCAGTACACTGACTTGGGATTGAGTAAATTGGCCTTTTAACCCACTTCTTTAGCTTTAGCATATTGTGAAATGAAATGGCCTTTCTCTCCGCAACCAAAGCAAGATCTGAAGTTTCTCTGTTCTAGGTTAAGGTCTTATCTCCCTTCCCTTCTCAGTTCTTGTATTTTGGCTAGCTCTGTTCTGTGGGCTTGCCTACAAAATGGCCGCCACTTGCCTGCTGGTTCTTGAGGTAACCCTTGGGCTCCTTTTTACTGTCCCCCCAAGTTTTTTTTCCCACTTTTACCTCAGAAAAACTTGGGTTCCTTATATGTGAAATAAAATTTGTGACCTCTCCAGCTTCCTGAACATCTTTGGGCTTTTTATCTCTCACTAGGTACCTCAGGTCTCCCGGGAGAAGTGAATAGAATTGCTCTAGCCCCATGATGTTCTTAATATCTTGTACAGTTTCACCTCCTTCTTGTTGAAGCCATTTGTCCAGATATTTGGTCAAGTTTGCCCCCAATTGAGAGTAGGATTCTTCAGGTTTCTTTGTCAGTTCCCTGAACTTCCACTTCAAATGCTCAGCACTGATGCCAAACCGTGAGAATACCAACTTTTTAAATTCCTCAAAATCACTAAATCCAATGACATCTGTGTATATATCCATTAACTTGCCACTTATCTGAGACCTCATCACACTCATACATTCTGATCCCCTCAAAATCTTCACACGCACGCTCAAACATAAAAAATAAACATAAACGATTCAGGATCATTGCCCTTTCTAAATACAGGGAATCTTATTGTCTGCCTTGGACAAATGTCTTTCTTCTGAATTAGACTGGCTATTATTATTATTATTATTATTATTATTATTATTATTATTATTATTATTAGCCTGAGCTGTCAGCTCCAATCTCCTTAGTTCAAATGACATTCTTTCCTTTTCCAGAGCCATCTTTTGTTTCTATATTTCCCTATCTATTTCCTACTCTCTTTCCTCCGATCTAGCCTTAATTTCTAGTTGTTTTTCCTCAGCCTGAGCTTTAGCTTCCAGCCATTTTAGCTGGAATTCCTGTTCCTTCTCTGATTTCAATTTTCTGAATTCTATAGAGTCCTCTCCCCTTGAGGTCTCCATTTCCCTCTCTGAGGTAATCTCTTCCTGAGTTTCTTCCCTCTCCTGATCTGAGTCATCTGCACCCCCAGGAGGCACCTCTGCAAGCTTAATTTGGCTTTGTTCTGCCTCTTCATTAATTTTTGGTGAATTTTTTTCTCCCCCATTGGAATGCACTGAACTGCAGGCAGGCCTTTTTGCCTGAGGCAAAGTTCTCCACGTCTCTAGGCAATAAATAAACAGAAATATCAGGTTTAGCTCTTTCCAGATTTTGCTGACTTGAGTCTCCTCAACTCCTCTGACCTTGGCTTCTGCTTTGTCCTCTCAGAACTCTGACCTTTAAGATCAGGACAAGATAGACAACTGGTTGTTTCCCTGCTTGAGGCAACCTCCTTCCAGAAATGTTTTCCCTAGAGCCCATCCCTATCTTAGCCCCCCAATCTGAGCTTAGGAGCCTCCCTACTAAGCTTTTCCCCCTGAAAAGCTCTAGGAAGTTACACACTCCATTCACTTCAGACCCCCTTTCTGTTTTTGAGGCGCCACTGGATTAAATTCAATCCCTCCGCTGATCACCACTTTGTGGCGATCCCCTCTGAAGCCCCTATCCCTCCCCAGGCCTTCATGAGGTTCTCACTCTTCTTCTTCGCTGCCACCAAGTATTACTGTTTTAACACCATTTATTCATGGACACATGTGTGCTTTTAAAACTCAAGTCTTTTATTAGATTAGGAAAGTTAATATATGATTACTATTCAATGGATAAATCACAGGCTGTCAATCACTTATATTAGAATCTCATCTGATAAACTTTAAACCTCTTTTAACTCTCTGTTCTATTCATTGTTCTTTCAGATCTCTAACTCACTCTTAGTTCACTTTTAAGTTTCACACAGTCTCTCTCTCCCAGAATCTCCCTCAGACTCTATCCACCACCCTTTATATCCAGCTCCCCCCCGCCGCTTGGCTCCACCTTCCATCCATTCATAGGCTCCTTCTTCACTGTTCTACTGTGATGGACAGGTGAGGGCAGGGCGCATTTTTGAGACCAGCAAATTATAGTTTGGGACAACCAAGGAAGAATTTAAGAAAATGGAAACATTAGCATTTACTTCATCTGACCAAGTTAAACAATTATAGCATATGGATAGGGCATTATCATCTATGTGCGGCTCAGAGGGGAGATGTATAGTGTTTGAGTGATACAGTTAACAATAAAGGTAGATGATCACTTTCTAATCTTCATCCAACTGCAAATTCCTTAACCTAGCTGTCTAAAGATAGAGAAATTAAAACAATTTACCACACTACTTCCTCTCCCTGAAACAAAAGTAAATTCTGCAGTTATCAAACAAATCATTGCCATTAACAATATGAAGAGAAAGTTGTGCAGCATTCCAAGCCAAGCATAATCCACTGTAATTGATCTTCAAGTCTTTTGATAGTCTATAATTCCTCACATTACAAGTGTCTATTGCCACTCTCTTCCCACTAGGCTGGCCACTCCAGGTGGGGGGAGGAAGGATGAATTTCCCTGTATGGCTGCCCAGTGGCCAGCCAAGCAGGATGAATGGCACTCCAGGTGTGACTGGAAGGATGAGCAGGGCCATTGCCAGACATGTGAGTGAATGGTCCAGCCCCAGGAGCCAGATCCTCACTAAGTCCAGCTGCGCGGGGATATTTGTATTTGTATATGAATATCCCCATCTCTATTCATGAGTAAATTAAATAAGTTTACTCATGAGCAACCATGTAAACTAGCTCAGGTAATTTTACAAGTAAACCAGATAAAACTTGCTTTGAGATCATTTCTAGTCAAGAAGCAAAAACAGTAATTTCAGTTTAAATGAGTGAGGTAGGGAATATTATTATATTTTTTTAAAATATCTTTTAAAATATTTTCACAGGCTGGAGTTAAAAATGTTTGGTCTGAAAGGAGTTAACTGTGTTCTTTCTCAGTCTGCCTCAAAGTGGCAGGGTCAAAAGTTCAACTTTGTTCAGAATTCTGAGAACTTATAGGAGAACATCAGTAAAGTCAGTGTTTTCTAGTTTCAAAGTGAAAACTGGGAATTAGAACCAAGAACTGCTGAATTTGTGTGAAATAAAGAGTTGTTAAAATAAATGTTTTTTTTCAAATACGCAAATTCTGTCTTATCAATGAGTTTCATCTGTTTTAAATCAGACAGTGCTTTATCTCAGTTTTTTCATTCAAGTCTCATTTTAAATTGTTTTCTTCCAAAACAGTGACTTTCAGGTCATGAAAAAAGTAACTATGCAGACTGCTATATTCTGCAATAGGATTCTGTGTATTACCATTCCTGATATCAGATTTATTTCTAATAATTCTTTTGTGTAGAGATAGTCCTGCTTGTTCTATGTACTATGCATATGTATCCTCACCTGGTCATGGGGCCATGTACAAATATGACAGTCATATAGTCTCACTCTTATGTCTGAAGAAATGGATGCCTTGATCTACAAAAGCTCAGATTAAAATATAGCAGTTAGTCTTTAAAGTGCCATATTGTTTTTGTCTCATTTTTCTATTTTTGTTTTGCTCTGTCTGACTACTGTTGCCATCCCCAGTGTGTTTGCTGAGTGGAGATCTGGACACCGGTCCGTTGAATCTGGAATTCTGTACACTATACCATACTAGTTCTCAATGTAACCACATTTAATTATGCCTATTTATGTTAACACTGGCATTTCTTCTTATAGCAGATACTAATAAAACAAGCAACAAAACAACACAAAATAAAATAATCCCGGGTATCTACAGATCTGAAATGAGATAAGCAAACTATCTAGTTGCTGCTTCTTCTTGCCTAAGGAACTACTAAGAATTTTCTGTGTGTGGCAAAGTCTCAGAGAAAAGGCAGCAAGGAAATTTCACCTGGAGTCAAAGCTTTATTTGTTATGCTTCATTTGAGTCAGTCCATATTGTATGCACACAGAATATCTCATGTGACGTAGACTTTACACTGCTACAATTCCCACTTTATACTTGCAGTTGTAACCTAACTTTTAAAGACACACTTAAGAGATGTGCCATCCCATTATATTTTAAACTATATCCTTAAAAGATTGGTTAACTAATGTATTCTGTACAACAAATACAGTGGTGCCCTGCATAGCGACGATAATCCGTGCAGCAAGAATTGTCGCTATGCGGAATCATCGCTATGCGAAAATAGAAAGCCCATAGGAATGCATTAAAACTCATCTTTAAGCGAAAATCCTCCATACAGCCGCCATTTTCGCTGCCCGGTAAGCGAGGAATCAGCGCAAAAACACAGCAGGTGGCCATTTTGGAACCGCTGATCAGCTTTTGAAAAATCATTGCTATGCGATAATTGGTAAGCGAAACAGCTTACCGATCATCGCAAAGCAATATTTTCCCATTAAAAACACCACAATGCGATCGCAAAAACGATCGCAAAAAAAATCATTGCTATGCGGATTCATTGTTAAACGGGGCGCCCGTTAAGTGAGGCACCACTGTATTTAAAACAAGCTAGTAGCTTCCTTGCTTTGTTTGCACTTTGATTAGCCACAAAACTGCATGCGTACAGACAGCACTAGAACATGCCAAGAAAGAAAATCACCAACCTCATGTTTAGGCCTCGATGAGAGCTGTCTCAAAACAAACAAAGCAAAATGAAAAACTGCATGATAATCAAGGAAGTTTTAAGACACTTTCTATAAAGAAATGTATAGTAAAAAATAGGTAAGCCTGTTGATATGAGAAATAACTGCATGCATTATTTAAAATTATGATAATCTCATAGTACTACTAAAGGCAGCTGTATTTTTTGTTTCATTAAAATAAAAAGTATGTTTGTATGGCAAGCCAAGTACCCACAGGTGCCCTGAATGTGGCAGTGCAAATTGTTTAATCATTCCTACAGAACAAAATGCAGCTTTTACTCTGCAGTTAGTTCATCATATAATTTGAAAGCAACCAGCCTTTTCTCTGATTTGTTCCCATCCAGGAAACTAGAGTGAGAAGGCTGTTCTCTACTAGTTAACAAACCAACCATGCATCAAATCTCCATGGGTTGGTTTAACTGCTCTTCCTATCAGAAGAAACGAGTAAGTGGCATGACCAGAAAGTCGCACATTTATAAGAGCAAGAGTTCTCAGGGATCTCTAGCTTGTCATGGCATGCAAAGAAATCCGAAGTGGAAGTCACATTTGAAGGAGGAAAAAGACCAATGAGGTACACATGCTTTCTGGTATGAATAATGCTTTCTGGTATGCTTCCTGGCAACATACATACAACAAACAGCACAGTCTAGTTAAAGTGTAATTCCATAGGCCATTCCAAAACAGTTCATAAATGCAGTAGGATGGCTTGGTTCAAGAGCAGTATGATGCACCAGTTTCTGCTGGTGTCCTCAACAACCTCAAAACCCATTTCGTGCCAGTCATGGGGGATAAGAAATACTCAAAAACATTTTTCAGTGGCATAGGAATCTGCAGCGAAGAGTAATGAAAAAGTCCTGTTAACTATTCTGGGGATCCATGTAAACACTTTGTATCTGAATCACTGTTATTTCTATACCATTATAACAACTAATTTACTCTTTTATCCCAAATTTACAGTGTTCACGAAAAGATACTAATATGCCCACAAGTTTTTGTGGCTCACTAATAGCTTGAAGGAAGAGAAGAGATCCAAAGAGAAACTTTCTTGTCTTATAACTGGAATTCATTTGCACATGCAACTACACAATTTGGTATTTACAAGTCTTATACAACAGGGCTCCCATCCCACAACCTTTTGACCATTAAAATATCCAGAAAAACAACAAAATTACAAAATTTCTCTGGGAAACTGACAGGACAGCCTGACCCAAAATTTAATGTGTGAATATATTTAATGTGTGAATACTTAAACATATAATATAAAGCTCATTCACTCTCTCTAATATTGTGTGGAGGCATCATTTTGGCTGATAGCATAAAAGAAACATCAGGATATATACTCACCATGGAGAAGTTCCATTTGACATCACATTCCATCCTATAAAGGAAGTGAAAGTGCTCTTCCCTTCATTCTGATTTACAAGAAATAAAAGAGAAAGAGAGAGAAAGAAGGTTGTAATGTTGCTACACTATGTATGTTGATCATCATTGGAAAGGGGAAGGGTATTGTTTTGGAAGCTTTATCTTCTCTTTTCTACCATGTACAGATTGCAGCAATAAAAGCATATTTTGCCCTTCAAGATGAAAGGAATGAATACAATCTGTTTATTTAAAAATGTTTTGGGTAACCAAGCTTGAGCTTCTTTTTTTAAGTTAAAAATCAATGGAGAAACTATTTATAGCTGAGACCCATACTATCTACCAAAAGAATGAAGACTTTATATTCTCTAATGAGGATAATATACATTTATTTACACACAATATACTGGTGCAGACAACAGTATATATACAGACTATAAAGAATACAAAACTGACCCAAACATGGGGTTATGCTAATTTATATTTATGACCGTGTATACAAAACTACTGAAAACAAGCTTAGCTTGGCACAAAATGGTAAAATAATCTTAATAAAAGAAACGTTTATATTTCTGTAACAGGAAGTTATTGTAGAGAGAATCTATTATCTCCCGGATGCTAAACAAGGTAAAACTTACTATGTTACATTAGTGTCCTCTTTAGGTACACAACTCTGAGAGAACTCCTGTAAACTATGCTAAGTTTGTAAGATAAAGAAGGGCATAAATATAAACATTGAAAAATGTTTTGCTGAAAAAGGCAGCTTCCCCCAAGGCTGAATTAATATTGCAACCCTAACATCAGCAACAGAGAAAAGTATGATTTGTTAATTCTCCAACCTTTCATAACTGCCGGTCTTTTACATTATGTTCCAAGTGATCACTGATCCTGCAAGATTCCAGTCTGCTATATGGAGCAACAAGGACTGGAACAGAAGTCAAAAGTATTTGACACTCTGAAACCCTCTATCTGGAAGCTCCCTTGATATTTTGAGATCAAAAGATGCCAATATATTTTAATTGCATGGCACAACTCTAGCACAGGGTTTTTTAAAAGTAATTCAACATAGTGAGCTAATATCTAGCTCAAGACATCAAAAAATACTTGGCAGCCTTGGGAGGAGGTGACCAAATTCACAGATAAATCTAATTTCTTCACAAATTATCTGTCAAAATCCAAAGATGCACCAGTACAAAATAATGGGAAAAGAGGTAGCTATGAACCAGTCTGTGTAGTTTATTTCTTCTTAGACCAGGGGACAAGATGCTAAAATAGGAATGTGTATAGTTTGCTATTTGCATAATAATGTGAATAAAGATTACCTTTTTTTCTTTTTCTTTGCTTTTAGAGGTTGAAGGAATATAATTTCTATTACACATAATTTACAAGAGACTAGAATACATGAAGTGCAAGCCATGGAAGGAGATACAGGACTTAATCTTTTTGTTGAGATATTTGGGAAAACAACTGAATGAAGGAAGGAGCACTTTTAATTTCTACATAGAATGGAATATGATGTTGTGCCTACAGGCATAGTTTGTGAACAGCTCAAAGCAGCCAAAGGGAAAAATACCCACACAAACAGGAAAATGATGAGCAAATACCCACTATCAATAGATTTAGTTATTTCAGTACTTTATTTCCTCAAACAACATTAATTAAGTCCACAACTATATTTTTGGATCATTTTGCACAGTTTTTTTTACTGTAAAAAACATAAAAATCAAGAAATACAGAACAACAATCTACCTCAGAATAAAATGAAATTATATACAGTACTAAAACATGTATTGTGTATTTAAGATAACCTAATTAAGAGCATTTAAAAATATTTTGTTTAACCAACATCGTGAAAATGCATTTACAGTATAATTTGGAATAGACACATCAATAAAGAAAAAAGGTCATATGAAAACAATGTTTGCGCTGACCTCTATATGAAGCTTATGGAAAAGACTTGGTAACTCACTGTAACTATGGCTCTCCAAGTGGTGATCCATGTATCCACACAAAAAGCGGTTTGCACCTGTGCAAACACCAGTTCAGAAAGTTCCAGAGCCTCAAAATGAAAGTGCTTCTCTGCCTATACTGTGCAAGAGCAGCCCCGCTCTCCTCAGTCCCAATTGTCTGCTGCAAGGTAGAGGGGCGAAACAAGTGGGAAGTAGGTGAGTTGTGTGGATATATGCATTATCGCTCAAGGAACCATAGTTACGGTGACTAACCAAGTCTTTATTTTCATGATGTCCACATCTACGCACACAAAAAGGGGTGACTGGCAAGCTAAAGTTCGGAGGTTAGAGTTATATCAGAACAAAGGATAGAACAGCTCATCCAAAAACAGCATCTTTCTGGGCTCTAGGGGTGACAAATTTTGAGGGTCTAAATCGGCGTTCCCCAACCTTTTCTGGTCCGCGGATCGGCTGGGGAAGGCGGGGCACCCCTGTGCTCACGCGTATGTGCGAACAAGCATGCACGTGCTCTTGCATGGGTGGCGTACTGTCATTTGTACATGCGTGCGGGCCCGCACGAGCGCGTACCACCATTTGTGCATGTGTGCGAGTGCCCATGCGCATGCACAAATGGCAGAGCATGCTCATGTGAACCGACGTGCGCCTGTGCGCATACGCAATGCAGGCATGCCAGAGTGCATGCACAGGCGCAAACAGGCGGCATGGGGGTGAGTGTGCGCAGGTGGAGCAGTGGGAGGTCTCTCTCGGCGGCCCGGTCTGGCCCATGCCATGGACTGGCACCAGGCTGTGGACCGGCACCAGGCTGTGGACCAGGGGTTGGGGAACACCAATCTAAACCATGTCACTCTCTGGCAGATTTCCTGTATGTCTGTACACCATGTAAAAACACAACGGAGAAGATTCCACTGGTGGAATGGCTACAGAAAGCTAGAGGCAGCCATTTATTTGCTAGTTCATAGTTCTGAGGCTCTGGAACTTCTCAAACTGGTCTTCGGGCAGGCACAGCCCCCTTTTTGTGTGCATACATGGACATTACAAAGAATGAATATCAATCTGAATTGTTTACAACTTTGGTAGGCTGATGTCCTAAAGAAAGGTTACCTACCTGTAACCATGGTTCTTCTAGTGGACCTCTGTGAATTCACACAAATGAGCTTTTTCTGTACCTGCACAGGATGTTTCAGAAGTTTCTAGAGCTTAAAAAAGAGTAACAATTAAGATACCACCCCTAGGGTGCAAGCTCTGCCTCCTCAACCTTCCCCTCAGTTCCTCTATAGTCCACCATTGCCAACTAAAACAGATCTAATAGACAACATGACAGATAGAGGGGAGGAAGGGAGGGATGTGTGAATTCACAGAGGTCCACTAGAAGAACCATGGTTACAGGTAGGTAACCTTTCTTTCTTCGTAGTGGCCTCTGTGAATGCACACAAATGACAAGCCCACTTACCGGATGGTCGGCCGTCACAGAAGCAGAGATGTCAGAATCGCCCTGCCGAATGCAGCATCATTCTTCGCTCTGACGTCAAGGCGATAGTGCTTCATAAACGTCAAGGGATTGGACCAAGTAGCTGCTCTGCAAATGTTCTGCACCTCAATTCCACAATGTAGTGAAGTCAATGTCGAGACTGCTCGAGTAGAATGGGCTTTCAGATG